CAAAATTGTCCAGAGTAATCTGAGAGGAACGCATTCACAGCTGACAAGGATAGACCACGGCATTCTTGTGACGTTCTGTAACAAAATTGCGACATTGAAAGAGACATCATGATGGTTGGTTGCAATACGCATTGTGGTTTTTTAACTGTGGCATGAAATATGTGCATTGATTGTACATTTCCCACGTACAACTAGGTTATTTTCTTTCTTGTTAAGAACATAAACCCCCAGCTTTGAAATTACGACACCGGTGGCTTTCTGTCTGCACATGTGGGCTTTTATGAAATGTGATTGCAAAATCAGGTAAACATTTTCCGTGAAGGTTTCCCGTCGCATGCGATCTTATCGGTAACCAAGACAGACCACCAGCTTCCTGATTGACGTTGTCTATCATTCTTGCTTTGATAGCGTGTTTTGCTTTTCTCGGAGACGGACGACCTCCGGTCTCTCACAGACAGTAATCCATTTCCAAAGCGATGTCAATGGCGTCCTGCTGCCGACTCCCACACCGAGCCCGTCAAAACCGTCCGAGAGTTCCATCTCATCCCTGGCACGGTTTGCGCGCTGGCGGCGCTGCCCAAGGCAGCCCCGAACCGCGATCAGCTTCCGCCCAGCGACCGGAAGTGGTCCGCTTCCGGTGCCGCGGGCGTCCCGGTCATTGCCGCGACTGGGGCCGCTCGTCCAGCGAATCCTTCCGGCGGCAGGGGTGCCCCTGAGGAGAGCCGGACCGGCCGACAGGGGAGATGATGCATGGCCACTGAACAGTGGACAGGGGACCGGTGGCCGGCCAGAAATATACGGCTCAGAGGTCGTTCATCTTGTACTGTGGCGGCGCGCTCCGTGAACTGGGGAAGAGCGCCGCCGGCCAGTCGACCCGAGATCTCGCTGTACTGGAACGGGTATAGCACTTGTCAGATGCATTTCAGGCGTCTGAGGCGAGGGAGCAGTTTTGTATACCAGGATCGGTAAGCGACCCACCACTGATACACAATTTATCTAACACCGTTTGTTCGGAGAAACTGTTCAAAACGGGCTAGACTTTTTGCGGGAACGAAGAGACAATTTGGCCACGCACTGCGTCCACGCACGAGTGAAGGGTAACGCTAACAAATGTAAAGAGCAGTTTTGAAACAGGTCAGAGACGGACAGAAATGGTCGCATGCATCTAGGCAATTAGGCAGTCACGTTTTTATCGGCGTAATGTGTGAACAAACTTGCATAAAGCCCTCTTAGACGGGGACCTTGTCATGTGAAATAACTATCATTTGTACGCCCTGGCATGTCCCAGATAATATCCGGCAACCAGGTTATCCCGCATCCTTCCAAACAAAATCATACGGGTTCTGTGTTCTTCGCATTGCCGCCATCACACTTTTACTGTAAGGCGCCTCTGTCCGTCAGTTCGCTTTGCATCTGTTTCGCTGGCCACTTCTGTGGTTTAATCCGGGCAAAAACGCACAGATTTACACACGGTACACACACGCATGAGACCACGGGCATCGTGCATCGAAAAATGACAGTCTGTTGTCATTGTGACCGATGAGTATGAGGCACGTGTGAAAATATCAGTTGTGTGCCTGGTGCAATACCGTGGGCCGCGACCCGAGTGGCACGGCTCGACTCTAGTGATCTCTTCCGGGGGTCCGGACCGCTTCAAACCACTGGCTGCTACGGCCTGGCTGCCGGCTCGTCGGCCGCCGCCGTCGCCGCCGCCGCCACATCCCACCAGGGCCGCTGCCCGCTCGCCAAGTAATGGATTCCGGCAATTTAGTATACGTACTTGACGTTTTTATTAGCGCCGCCATTTGTCGGGTGACTTGGTACCCCTTGACGCTGGATTTGAGCGGCGCTCCGGTTGTACGGGCCGCCGCCATGTTTGGTGCGCTCGCGGGCAAGTGGTGTAAATTGAGGCGTAGCTTTCGGCGTTTTTGTCTCCGTTTTAAGGAGATGAGAAGGAAGAGCCTCGCGATGAAGCGGCAGAACAAGGAGGACAAAGGACACTTAAGATGCCTTTCATCATTGTGACCGGTGTGTGTTTAATGCAGCGGAGCTTCGCACAAAAAGGAATTGTAGTAGTTGGACTGGTAAAAGTAAGAGACGCATGTGTCGCAATAGGGGCATTAAACCAATTTTGGGCTGCTGTGTACTACTCCTGTATCTCTCGTGTATGCGCCATAACAAGACCTAGAAATTGCTCCCAGTTGGCGTAAGCAAATTACATACTGCGCGTAATCTTTAAGCTTTTATAATGGAGTGAAGGACTTTCTTCTCCTTTGCATTTCAATGCAAAGGAGCTAGAAAGTGACTTGGTTTGATTTGACCAGAATGTTTGGACGCCATGTCTTGGTCGTGGTACTGCTGTAAGCTAATATGACATGATATTAGGTTGTCTGGATGTAGGGATATCTTCGCATGAAATTATAAAAGAAGGAATTAAAAAGTAGCGTCTTTTAGGGGCACTACGGAAAGAGACAAATAAGAGCATGGAAGCCCAACTGTCGCATGTTCACAGCTTCTCCAAAGCCCTCTGCCCTGTTGACCATCTGTAATGCTCAGTGTCCCTCTGCCACTTGAAATTTCTTATGGGAATTCTGCGATCGTGCTGAGGTTCGCACAATCTCAAATATCTGTGATGACGCGTCCAACAATAGGCCAATTGTAATAAACGAGAAACGTCATCCATTTCTAGAAAACACTTGACCCGAGAATATAGCTCCCTTAGTTCATTATCTTTGTGTTGCGCAGTTTCTCGGCATTCCTTTTCGTTTAGTTGCTATGCATTTTTCCACCCTATGCCATCAGTATGACCAAACACTTGTTACCAAGAAAAGAAGCACAATCTGCACACATTTGTGATCCAAGAGGGTCAAGGGTCTTCCATGCTGGTTATTAAATCCCGTTTTTGCGTTTTGCAGCGGGAAGCTAATTCACGCCATCCGTCGTTACGCGTTCGAGGCTGCTTACAAATACTAACGCCCAATACTCCATGCTGCTAGACCTGTGTCGTGCGTCCGAGTTAGAGGACGTGATGTCCAGCCGTGGCATGTGTGGGTCAGGGGACACGGACATACCACTCAGGGGCGGGGGAAGGGGGGGGGCGATCCGTGCGTGGCCATGGCCATGCACGGACAAGGGCGGGAGTCAGGGAGCACGCGCGGCCCGCTGGGAGGGCAGGGCGGGGGACAGCGGCGCGGGGCGGCGTCCATCCGGCCGGAAAACTAGCGAATCACGACGTCCAGCGGCCAAGATTGATGCGCCATAAAGCGCGGCCGTGTTTCCTGGCCTTAATGCGACGACTCGGCGCGCCCATTACGCCTGGACGCAGGTCGCCGCCGGCGCGCCGCCCGACGAGAAATTGAATGACCAAATTGGAGTTGACAGAGCGTGCTGTGCGGGGGGCGGCAGCCGGCCCCGGGTCAGGCAGGCCTCCGCCGGCAATTAGCTCGGCCGCTGCGCCGGGGAGAGGCGGCCGGCGCCGCTCGGCGCCCCCGTCGCCGGGCCCGGTGACAAGTGGGGTCGTTAGGGCGGCGAGAGCGCATCGGCGCCGACGGAAGCGGGGCGCCGCCGGCCGCCGGTCATTTCCCGGCGTCGGTGGACAGCGGCCGCAGACGCCACAATAGGGACACGCGCCGCGCCGGCCGCTGCCCGCGGCGGCCAGGATTGCCGGCCGGCGCCCGCTCCGCGGCGCACTGCTGGGGTCAGCACGCCCGGCGCCGGCCGCCGGCCGCGCCCGTGCAAGGTGGAAACGCGGCCGCGTCGAACGATGGAGTCCATTTGGGGGGAGCCGTGGGCTCGCGGCTCGTCCTGTTTTGTTCCGGTCGCTAATGGTACCTTTGTTCGGGCCGGCTGGAGGCCTTTCAGTCGCGGCGATGGGGCAAACTGTGTTGCGATGGGTTGAATTCTTCCATCCTTTCACCGGTGAAAAAGAATACCTCATGTTGCGAAGGCTCTCCGTGTTCAAATAGTAAACTGCGGAATTAGAAACTAAAGGATTGACGAAACCCGCCACGCGTTCCCAGACCCCGAACGGCGCGTCCCACTGTAATGCGACCTTTTGAACCCTACTGTCACTGGCGCAAGACATCTTCGAGAGGCACGGCCTCAATGGCGCAGGCAGCCCCAACAAAACACCCTTAAAACAGGTGGCGGCGGCGCGATGCTGCGTATTTGTTGGGGCGTTGGAGCATCGGCAGCGGCATAGTGTCACAATAATTAGTCGATATCAGATGGTAATCGGGCGTCCGGTGCGGCGGCCCGACTAAGCCGCTCCCGGCCTAAACTGATTAGCCGCCGACAGGGTCCGGACGAGCGTAAAGCGCCGTCGCAGCCGTTCTGTGCAGCGGCGCATACGGTCGTGCGCCACATTAGCCTCGGCCGGCTGTGGGCGCGGAGCGCCGGCCGAGCGGCGGCACATCGCAGTGGCAGGCTGTCAGCGTGTGCGTCTGCGGTCTGGTCTGGTCTGGTCTGGTCTGGTCCGCGGCGCAGGCAGGCTCGGGCCGCCCCTGAGGATGATGTGGTGGCGCGGGAGACAGAGCCACGCCGGCGGAGCTGATGTGCGGAATGTAACAAGTGGATGTGGGTTTTGGTAATGGGACGGGGCCGCAATGGTGGACAGTAGGTAACTTTACCACTTGCAAAGGGTGCGCGCCGTTGGTGGAGACTGGATGTCGGTGGTAAAACGCAGTACTTCTGAGCGTCACGATTCTTTTCAAATGCGCCATAGGATGTATGCTAAATCTCATAACCTCGTCAAGCATCAATTTACGAGCTAAACTACGTTAAATCCATATTGATTAACATTTGCTCGTGGGCATGGGCACGACCTTCGCATGGCCGATTGCCCGGTTCACTCGCGCCGGATGAAAGCTTTCAGGAGCCGTGTTCCCGCAGCTGATCTATGCTGTCAACACCATGTCCCGCCGGGAAGTCACCTTAGGGCTGAGCGCTCGCCCCTTCTGGCGGCGGTTGATCGGTGCTAACCGTTGGTCGTTCCGTTGCAGATGCACGGGTTCTGTCTGGACGGCGCCGGCCCGCCGCCCGGCCACCCGGCCTTTTCGGAGGCCGAGGTGCGGTACGCCACGCCCGACGACCTGATGGTCGACTGTCCCGAGCAGCAGAGCGACCTCTCCAGCCACAGCGACTGACCCTGCGGTCAGCGGTGACGGGCGCCCGGCCGGCCGCGGCGCCGCCCCCGCCCCAGGCCCCGGCCCCGGCCCCGGCCCCGGCCAGCTCGGCCAGCTCGGCCAGTTGTGATACGTTGTGTTAGGTTCAGTTGCCGACGGCGGGTGAGCGTTTGGTTCTGTCGGCGGTCGCGGACCGCCAGACATGCGGCACGGTTTGGGCTGAGGCATTCCGGCGTTGATTGCGGGCGCAATTTTTTGTGATTCAGAGGAACCCATGAGGAGGCGGTCGTTCCCTTTCGTTCGGCTTCAGACGGTTTCGGGAGATAACGCAAACCAACGGCTTTGAGACCCTGGCCACCTTTTGTTCGGAGAATCTTCTACCACTTCAAGTACAAGAGAGAGTCAGTGATAAGGGTGTGTTGGCTCAGCACCAAAGTTCCTGGCGAGTTGACGGTAGCGCCGCTTTCACGCCCCCGGCCGGGCCCGACCAGGGGGCTGGGAGAGGCCCGGGCCCCCGCCTCCGACAGTTTCATACGACAGCTCCGTCACGTCCGCGTACTGTCACAGTGCCGCACGTTGTTAAGTTTGCGCGGCGCGCGTGGCTGGACTCCGACGCCAGTGACCTCCAGCGCCAGCGACCTCCGACCGGTCAACGGACGACGTGTGCGATTTTGGGCTCGAGTGGTGCTCACCGCTAGCCGGGTCACATCGTCGCGCTCGCGCGCGCCGCCTCGCACCAGCTCATCAGCGTGATCTGTCTGGGTCGGTCGACAGCCGCCGCCCGATCCTCGCCAGCATGCTCACGGCGGAGTGCTTCTCGGCCAATCTCACACACACACATCATCGTGGAATTACCTAGGCATTGATATTGCGCGGGGCGGCGTTCCGGCCAGCTTAGCTTCCGTGCCCGGCATTATCGGTTCATGTTTGGTGTGCGTTCGTGTGTGTGCGTCTTGCTGCGAGACGAGCGCGTCTGTTCACCCGGATCAACAAAGCGACGGCCGTCCATTTTGCAGCGTGAGTTCGCCGATCCGGCGACCCGTTCGCTCCGTCGGGTCACGTACGTGTGTGGGGGGAGGGGGAGGGGATAGCCTGACCGGGACAGCTCGAGCCCGGCCGGTGATAGGCCGAGCCGTGCGCGGGAGGCGTGAGCTCTCTCTGGGCTGTACTCTGGAGTGTTTCACGTCCGTGCGGGCGAGGCTCTGGTTGTGTGGCGAGCCTGGGTGGTCTGTGTGACCGGTCGCTGGGCCCCCCAGCGACCTGATGTGACATCTGACCCCACTCTGGGCACATTGCCCGCCGGGAGATAATACACAACATGTACGCTTTCACCCGCTCTCTGATGGAACAGCCAAGGCTGTAGGCAGATTTACGAAACGCTCTTGAAGGAAATGCTCTCTTGCTTTACGCATCACGCCATGACTCCGCGCTTCAGAGATTAGGCGTTCTGCGGTCTGACGAGGCCTGCCACCAGTAGCGGTAAGCAGCGTGTGAGTGCACACAGTGTCCTGAATGAGTTAATGAACTTCACTGCTAAGCGAGGCTACATACAGCCGCTTTAGTAACATGCGTGCACTCTGCTAGGTAAACCCACCTGTATTTCATTGCCCGCCTATCACCCCGAACGCGATAGTGCAACGATGGCCAGCGGATCGGCTTCAGATAAAGCTGAAGCGCTTGGGCGTACGATCTCATATTACATGCAGTAGCAAACATAAGCTGCGACCAACTCTACGGAAACTTTAAACTCTACATTTAACAACAATCCATCGAATAAAATCAGCCAGAACCGGACGCGTACTGAGTTTGGGCCGAGAGCGACAGTACAGCCCACAAATCTCCGCCATAGTCCACGCTTGCCATGGCACGAGGTCACCCCACCCCCATCCCATCAGCGAGCCGCTGCCCGCAACACCGTCATCGTATTTGCGTTACGGCACGCTCCTGACCTAGCAGCGGCGCCGCAGAGCCTGTCGCGCCGTCGCGCCGGACGCAGGCGCCGCCCTCCCCGCCGGCGCACCCTTTCCCGGCAACCTTTCCACGCTAAAAGCCTCGGAAATTCGATTAGGCCGACTTCCCATGCATTAGGCGGCCGCCGTCGGCTCGCCCCTGCTCCAGGAGCCGATGATGTCACAGCGTCGGCGGCGACGAACCGGCGGTAGCGGCGGTCGACGTGCTCCCTGTGCACCCGGGACGTTCCGGTGCCGGCTGACGCTCTCTCGACGCACCCGGGACGGTCCGGCGCCGGCTGACGCGCTCCCTGTGCACCCGGTGCGTTCCGGCGCCGGCTGACTCGCTCTTGACGCACCCAGGACGGTCCGGCGCCGACTGATGCGCTCCCTGTGCACCCGGGACGGTCCGGCGCCGGCTGACGCGCTCCCTGTGCACCCGGGACGTTCCGGCGCCGGCTGACGCGCTCCCTGTGCACCCGGGACGTTCCGGTGTCGGCTGACGCTCTCTTGACGCACCCGGACGGTCCGGCGCCGGCTGACGCGCTCTCGACGCACCCGGGACGTTCCGGCGCCGGCTGACGCGCTCCCGTGCACCCGGGACGGTCCGGCGCCGGCTGACGCGCTCCCTGTGCACCCGGGACGGTCCAGCGCTGGCTGATGCGCTGTCGACGCACCCGGGACGTTCCGGCGCCGGCTGACGCGCTCTCGACGCACCCGAGACGGTCCGGCGCCGGCTGACGCGCTCTCGACGCACCCGGGACGTTCCGGCGCCGCTGACGCTCTCTCGACGCACCCGGGACGTTCCGGCGCCGGTTGACGCGCTCCTCGACACACCCGGGACGGTCCGGCGCCGGCTGACGCGCTCCCTGTGCACCCGGGACGTTCCGGTGCCGGCTGACGCTCTCTCGACGCACCCGGGACGGTCCGGCGCCGGCTGACGCGCTCTCTACGCACCCGGGACGTTCCGGCGCCGGCTGACTCGCTCTTGACGCACCCAGGACGGTCCGGCGCCGACTGACGCGCTCCCTGTGCACCCGAGACGGTCCGGCGCCGGCTGACGCGCTCCCTGTGCACCCGGAACGGTCCGGCGCTGGCTGACGCTCTCTCGACGCACCCGCGAGGGTCCGGCGCCGGCTGACGCGCTCTCGACACACCCGGGACGGTTCGGCGCCGGCTGACGAGCTCTCGACCCACCCGGGACGGTCCAGCACCGGTTGACGCGCTCTCGACGCACCCGAGACGGTCCGGCGCCGGCTGACGCGCTCTCGACGCACCCGGGACGGTCCGGCGCCGGCTGACGCGCTCTCTACGCACCCGGGACGGTCCGGCGCCGGCTGACGCGCTCTCGACGCACCCGGGACGGCCCGGCGCCGGCTGACGCGCTCTCGACGCACCCGCGACGGTCCGGCGCCGGCTGACGCGCTCTCGACGCACCCGGGACGTTCCGGCGCCGGCTGACGCGCTCTCGACGCACCCGGGACGCCTTAACTTAGGTTATTTTGTTCAACCAAATCCGCCCGTAGTTCATGGAGTTCCAGCCCTTTCGCTGTACATCTCAAAGTAGCGATGTCCTCTCGGCTCACGTAACGTACATCGACATTGAATTTACCTACCATGGCACTCAGTGTTACCGTGCTTTTAGTTAATGCTTGTTTTTTATAAAAGGCTCTACTTCTGTCTTTACGTTTTGCTTTGGAAATTCAAAAGTCATGGGGATGCCAGTATTCGTAACAGTCAATAAGCCGTATCTGCGGAACGTCTTTAAGGGGCGGAGGGGGAGACAAACCTGGTTTAATGTTGTTTCTTTCCAAGCGACAACAATGGCTAATGCTAATGTTTTACATACGTGTGATAGAGCAACGGCTGCTGCTTCCGCCCTCAATCGGTCACCCTGAAAACAGGTGGATTAAGCGGTACTTTGTGATATTTCATAAAGTTTCTATCAATATTCGTGCCCGTACTGTTCCTAATATGTTTATCCAACACATGCCATTGTTCATGCCTATGCACTTACCAAAGCAGCGAGGGCTTCTACTCAGAGCGGTCTTGCGACGGCCGGCACGGCCGTTCTGTCTTGTGCGCATCACCATTTTTTTTTTATATGAGCAGATAAAGTTCCAAACTCTGTTCAAATACCCGCTTAATGTGAGCCCGGGCTCACTCCTGGCAATCTGTTCGCAAAGCCGAGATAACGCGTACCGCACAGTGCCGCGCAGGAATATTCATCGCGGCGAGAAGAAGTTAGTCAATCTCTGACACATACCGATCATTGCGCAGTACCCAGAGGTCGTGAAAACCCGGCAAATTCCAACTAGCTCATTCAGCCAGCAATTCCTTGTAAATTTTCGAAGTGGTCCCTGGGTGGGTCGAGTCCACTTCCTCAATGGAAAATAAGTATGATCGAGTTCTTTGGAATCTGTGTACAAAACAGAACTCCATAGCTGGACCAAAAACCCTATTGGTGATGCGCGTCGTTACAAAGTCCGCCAAAAATATGTGCCGGTCAGTGTCAGCGACCCCGATGCTTCTTTCGGAGACTTCGATTGAAATATTAAACAACCATATCGAGAAAGCTTCAAATTATTCACAGACTGCGGGACTGGATATAGGCCAACAGAAAATCAACGAAAATAAAAAACGTCATACAACGGTCCTATTTGCCTTAAAGAGCTATCAGAGTGAGTGAGTTAGCGGGACCAACATAAGATAGAATATTTCCGATCCGTTAAATATCGTTCGGGTCTCAACCACATTTTATTTAAAACATCCAGGCACAAACAGTTATTGTAAAACTTTGATGTCAATTTGATTTGTAAGCACAGAACAGGCAGCGGCCTACGAATTATTATTCTAGCCAACGTTGTCAGCAAACTCCCGCGAATTTGCAAACGCACACGTCACCCTTCATCGGGCCTCTCCGTAAATAAATAGTGCAACTCATTTCCTGGGCGGAAGCCCAAAGGGTAGTGGTGGCGCGCGCCCGCGCCCTCCACGTGCTGCCAACTTGGCACGCCGCCCGCTGCCAGATCGGTAAATCATATCCGGCCGAGGTGGCGACACGGCGGACGGCACTCGGCCACAATAAACTCGATGGCCGGGAGCACCGGGCCAA